TAAATAATTTATAATGTAAGTAAATCTATTTCGCTACTTTGAACAAAAACTCTAGCTCATTTAATTACTAAAAAGCTTTATTTTTATTGTTATTGTTTACATGTCAATTTTAACTCCTTCAGATGTCAGATTCTTCTAAATTTAAAAATAATGACCACAGTCTTACCAGAAATTATCCTATTACCCTTTTGTAGTCAGGGCCTTCTTGCTAAGACATTGACTTTTGTTGGCCATTTCGTGGAACTTCCTTCCTGGCCCAGTTTTTGCTTGGATTCTGATTGTGGCATGTGCCAAGATTTCAGCTAGGATTTTCTAGGATTTATTCCTGTACAAAAACCATATATTCCTTTAGTCCGATATATTGTTAGTGATCTTTGTGATTTATACACCTAGTTGTGGATATAGTATCGGGCTAAAAGTGTGAATAAATTAATAACTAAGAGGTCACATACCATCAAGGGTGAGTTTTTCAAAATGAATTATTATTTCACTTACCTATATTCCCAACAGCCTTCTGTATACATAATAGTTACAATCGTCAATGTTTTTCAGACCTCCTTGGTTCGCTCCTTTCATTAGTGCGTTCCTCCCTTCGCTCGCTCCGATTTACAATTCTGAGTAACGCTTTTATTAGAGGAATACTTCTAAGGACTGTGTGCAAGTTTTCTCCACCTCTCCATATAGAATAGGGCTTCTTCACTGCACCGTTTGCGTGCTAGCAACAGAGTTCGGACAATTAGATAACCCCACCGAATACGTCGTTTTCATAGCCGTCTACTACCTACCGATATCAAGAGGAAGTTGCCTAACTGGACATCGTGCTTAGTTGAGTTCACTTAATCACCACAAGTAAGACAGTTCCTTTTTCTAACCCTATATTTCGGAGGGCCCCCATCTACTCACGAGGTTAGGTTGTTTGAGACAGCCTACAACAAGCAGAGTTAAATACCTGATTAAATACAATTTCTTTTGTATATGTATATATTTAAATTGTAATATCCACCTACCGGTTTAGTTGTCTTTTGTAATACGAAGAGTACTCTACGTAACCGCACTTTTACCACCCACTTGGAGGGTTATATATTATAAGTGTATGTAAGTTAAAGGTAAGAATAGTTGTGGGAACGCCTTGTACATAATAATTTTCTTTTGTTCCTAATAATAGTCCACATTTCGGATATATGTAATTTGTTGGTTAACACTTCAATTTTGACAATACGAGGTTAGAAGATAATAAAGGCCCGTTCACATTCTCTCAGTCATTTTCTTCTCTCTATTCACAGGAACCCGACCCTGAGAGATTACTAATCAACCTGATTAGGGGAGTTCGATAATTTGAACCCCTGTATCAGGCTACCTGTAATAGAAGCCATGACAGCGGTGAATGCTACATCTCGCAATGTTATTGGAGATAAATTATCAGGAGTAAGCAATGCACTTGCTTATATTCCAAAAAAATCGTCTCTTGCCAGAACACTTCGAAATTATCGAGCAGAGAAGCACTTGCCAAATCCATCTACGATGCATTTTGCAATTCCTGACAAATACTCGGACTTAGTGCTGCATGACTCTGGAGTCGAAGATCCAAACAGAATTTTAATTTTGGGAGATCGCGAGTTATTGTGCGAATTAAACCAAGCCACTCTATTCGGCGGCGGAACATTTGATAAAGCACCAACGATGTTTTATCAACTTTATACTTTGCATGCCAAAGTAGGAAATTCGTATCCACCATGTGTGTACATATCGTTACAAACTAAAAATGAAGCAACTTACCTACAGATGTTTCAAATTGTAAAAGGGTTAGTTCCAAGCATGGCGCCCCAGAAGATACTTTTAGATTTCGAGAAAGCCTGCATGAATGCTGCAGGGCGAACTTTTCCAGAAGCCGAAATTAAGGGATGTTATTTCCATTTGTGTCAAAGCCTTATAAGAAAAGTTAATGCAGTTGGTTTAAAATCGGAATTCGAATCGAACATCGACACAAAATTAACTAAACTCCTTGGCAGCATTATTGTTTGTGCCGTTAGAAGATGTACGAGATAATTTTAACTTTTCCTGATGGAGAGAGATTTAACGAAGTTTTTACATATTTTTTTTCAACTTATATACAAGGTGGGGCCGGAAGAAGTCCACAATTCCATCGGAGAATATGGAACCATTACGATCCCGCTCTTGATGAAACGCCAAGAACGACCAATTGTTGTGAAGGGTTTCACAGTGCCCTTAATTCCATATTTCATTGCAGTCATTCGAGCATATGGATGCTTTTCGATAGATTGAGAAGAGATTTAGCATGCCACAAACTTACATTGGTGAACTCCCAAGCTAACAGACTGGAGCCCACCAAAAAGAAATACAGACAACTGTACGCGCTTGTAGCCAGTTCTGTAGAAAAGTATCAAGAAACAGATAACAAAGTATCTTACTTAAGAAGAATAGCCAACTTACAGTAGTACGTCTATTAAAGTGCGTTTATCTTTTGTTACATTATTCATTTTTTCGTTTTTAATGTATTAATATGGAATAAAAATATATTACACTAAAAATCTATATGCATTTTACGTTTGTACCTACATTAATATATAAAAAAAATATAAAGACAAATCCATGAATATATTAGTACAAATAGTTGGCGATTATAAAATTAAAATAAAATCAACATGGAATTGCAAAAATATTTAGGCTTTAAAGATAAAATATGTACCTATAAAACTCGCCATTTTACAAAAAATGCAAAATCATTTCAAAGGAATTTCATAAATATAATTATTACAAATCGTTAACGATTATAACATTATAAATGAAAACAATGATCAAAAATCATAATAGAACTCCAAAAATATTTCGAACCAAAAACCAATTCTATTTATCAATAAAAAATATAGTACACTTGTCTGAATTTTAAAATTAGCGCGAAACAAAAATAAAACCAGTCTTCAGTAACTTACTTATAAACGTAATTTATTATAAAATATTATAAAATAAAGTTATTATGACAGAATTCCAAAAACCTAACGTTATTCTACGAAGATTCTTACATTTTGAAAAATTTTATTTTAATTCAGGTTAAGGTTTATAATAAATAGATATTAATGATATAATCCCTAATTACCTTACAATATTCAAAGAAGATTGTTAAATTTGCAAAACTTTTGTCTAATTAATGTAACGGTCTGTAATAAATAGATATTAATGATATAATCCATGAGTAGGTACCTATCATTATTCTAAGAAGATTTTAAATGTTAAAATATTAGGCACAGTTTGAGTTTAATTCGTGTCTTTATTTAAAATGGTTCGACTATCAATTCTTGTAAATGCCGTTTAGTGACCCTTTAATTATTTTCGAAAAATTTCGTAAATTTCGCCAACTTAAATGGGAAAAATGAGCTGCCAAACTGTTTAACATCCATGCATATGCAAATGAAATATCTGTTTCCGTTGCCTTCTGCTTGTTAAAAGACGAAAGTATACAAGTTACTTGAAACTGCAATGTGGCAACTTATAAAGAAAGAGATTGACGGCATGGGATTTATCCTGAATTAAAAATTATTAACAAAAAAGCAACTAATAAATGAAATAATCAGTACCTATTTTAATTTTATAATCTCCAGTAAAAATAAATGACCACTTGCAAATATTTCGTTTTAATTAAGATAAGTAAAATATACACCCCCATCAGCATAATTTCCTCGCGGCGAAACTGATCGTTATGATTTTTTAAAAGCGGATTTGGTGAAATTAGTCTGTCCTCAACAATCCATAATGGAGATATAAATATTATAAACCGTATTAACTTTATTGTGAAAGTATTTTAAGAATTTTTTTAAACTTATCTAATATTTTTCACCTGGAATATAACAAACCAAGGTACAGATCTATTCTTTGTATCGTACTTATAATAATTCCGAATAAATAACTGAGTAGATTCCTGAATTATCAGCAAACATTATAGTAACTACTGTAAACAACGATAATTAAAGTTTTAATCAAACAACAAAAAATTGTAACAAAATATAAATATAAACTACATGCCCTTTGCGCTTTTTTCAATTTGCGCTTTTTTCCATGTGCGCTTTTATACCCGTGAGCTTTTTTCCATGTGCGGTTTTTTCCGTGTGCGCATATTTCCTCGTGCGGTTATTTCCTGTGCGCTTATATGTCTGTGCGCTTTTTTCTGTGCGCATATTTCCTGTGCGCTTATTTCCTTTGCGCTTTTTTCCGGTCACCATCTTAGACTATACAATACTCGTCTGGTAATTTCTCGAATGTTCTCTTAGTAGACTGATGGACTCAAGATCCACCATCGCTAACAACAATATAGAGCAGGACCAGACTGGTCTAAAATAGCTCGCACGAAAATAACATGATAAAAACCTTAAATAGGCTTTCTGAGCGAGTTAGCTATACGTCAACATTTGCGTTCTGAACATTTTCAGATCAGAACAAAATTGTAACATAAATTTTTTTAATGAAATCGTTGGTAATTAGTGAAATAAAACATGTTTTTAATAATCTGCTATTAGATAGAAATAGAAATTTGAATTATTTTAACAAAAATCTAGAAAATTGAATTGAACTTAATTAAAAAATTGTGTATACGTAAAATAACAAAAATTAAGTTAAAAAAATATAAATAATAGCAACGTTTAAATAAATTTATTAATTCACTTGGGGTAATAAGCTTAAGGAAGACAATTGCCCCTATTTTCCTCCCTTAGATCCGCTGGTGCGGAGTATAAATACGAAGTGATTAATTGCAGGTGGCTGGCTAGCGATAGGATGTGTGTCTTTTATTTTAGAAATTCTTTAAACTTGTAACGAGCTAGGTAGAATTAAGACACTTCATGTAGTAATTATTGAGGAAGACAAGAGAAAAAAAAATAAAATTTTATATTAAAATAATGATATAAAACTTAAAAAGTAAGTCTATCTAAATAATACTACAATATCTACATTACATTGATAAATTATGTTTTTTATTAAATATTTTTATAATTGCTTTAGAATACTAAATGATACCTCCAATTTTCTCTAATTCATTTTATCCTTTATGTTTCGTGTAATTCCTAACCAAACACGATAGTAAAGTAAATCTTTCATTTTGAAAATAAAAAAAAGACCTATCAAATCATTACAAAAGTGTACTGTATTTGATATTAGTTTATCCTGAGTAGGCTTAAAAGAACATGAACTACTAATTGTACTTAAGTTTCCCCTGATTCGTTTTAATGACTAAGTTTAATCTAACTAATAAAATATGCTTAACAAAATATACTAATATCGAAATGACTAGCCTGAGTAACAAATATAATATGGTAAGAGTAAAAACTGTACATAAAGCGAAGAAGCCAATAACATCTAACATATAATATTTCCAACCGGGCATTCCAGTAGCAGAACTTCTGAGATGGTCAGCGCCTTTGTGCCTAATAACATATTCTGTCCAAAAAATGGCTCTTTGTAGACTGGGAATCTCTTCGTCCTTGAATATATCCCCCATTAATTTGGCAGTTTCGCGATACCTTAAAATAATTAATTCGTTAAAAAAATTTTTTACTTTTTATTTACACGATTCAAGTATGTTTTATTTTTAACGAAAAATTGCTCTTTCTGACTTTGCCTAAATAGCTCCAAAGTAGGCGAAAAGTGTCGTCGATTGTTTAGCTAGTTAAGTGCTAGAAAGGGTTTGTTGTGCCTTCCTGAGGTGAGGCGCCACTAAAATTTTCAGTTGACCCATTAGTAGTTAGTAGGGAGAGGAGATGACGTACTTTACAAATATTTAAAATAATGTGGTACATTAGGATGGTAACAAGATGGCGCCTTGAGCACATCCGGACTGGGTTGTTTAAATGGGTCGTAGTAATTGTAATATTTATAATTCAATAAATACTACGTGATGTATCTTTTCAAGTATAAAAAGAATAAAATAGATGTGCCTAATTAAAAAAATAATTATTATTGTAAGAGGTACTTTTTTAAATAAAAAAAATAACGAATTTGAGAGACGCTAAAATAGTGGTTCCCATCTTATCGAGACTAAGGCCCACAAGGGTAATTTCGTAGCGTAACAAAAACGAGAAATGATTTAACTTGGAACGAAAGACCGAAAGCCGATAGTAGTATTAGGATGTTGAATTTTTTGGTTTGTGAAGCATTGGCATTAATTAGGGTAAACTATGTGATGATTTCCATAAGCCTTGATTTTTTAAACCATTCTATATCGCCTTTTCGGGGTTATGATGGACAAGTAATGTTATTTTTAACAGAATCGTTATTTGTGAACAGGTTGTTATTTTTGTGTGTTTGTAAAATAACAGACCTGTTAAAAATAACACAGGTTGTCAATCATAACCCCCTTTATTAGGGTTTACAAACTTGTTTGAGCAATGTATCCAATAATAATTGGCCCCTTTACCTCTTAAGCCTGCTCATGTAAAATATTTCGACTCGTTACTTCGCCTATTTATATTCTATTAGTAAAGGACAGAAGGATGAGTATTACAACTATGTTAAAAGAAATAAATTGACTTTCAGTTCAGAATTATGTTCAGTACATGACGGATATTTATTTATAAAATAATAATGATATAGTACCATCGCCTCAGATCTATTAGAAAACATTCAATATTATTTGCAATATCACAACTATAATACAAAAAGCCAATTTTACTTTTATGTACGGCAAGCCATCACTAAAAGTTCCCAAAATACAATTTTTATTAAAGGTTTAAATAATTTAATAGACTGCCTACAGAAATAAAAAAAAAACAACATTAAATGTATTCAAAAGTAACCTCGAACAATACTTGATAAATAAACATAACGGATATACTTTCTTGTGATAATACTCTTTTAACCTGCCCTTTTTAAGTATTTCCCTTAATTTATTGTTATTTTACCCCTCGTTTTACCCGCATTTATTATAAATTATTTGATTTAAGATCATGCACTTTATTTTAAAAAATTACTTGATGTTATATTAATACTAATTACCATGTTTAAATTATTAATAGTTTTGCGACGAAGTAGATCCATAGAGGGCAATGTAATTTACAAAGGCCTTCTTTCAACATACAAATAAATGACAACTTTATAATTAAAAAAAAAAAAAAACACAACAAAATACCTCGGTATCATAACTGATCAAAATTTGAAATGGGTTGATCACATAACGTCTTCAAAATCCCAAGGTAAGAAGATTAATATTTAAATTTTATGAATATAGGAAATTTATGACTAGGAGTTCACTAATTGTTATTTACAATTCGCTGGTTGAATATGTAATCCAAAATCGTATAACTAAAATTATCTAAAAAAAACCAGCATTATATCCTACCTCTCTTTTATATAATAAAAAAGTGCTTTGTAAGAGAACATTATATTATCTGTCTTGCTGTACCTTTATTTATGGAAAGCCTGAATTGAGATACACTACAAATTATTTGCAATAAATATCGAAAGAAGTATACATTTTTAAATAATTTGATATTTAAAAGCCATTTACACATCACAGTTGACATCTTGATACTTGACAGGTAGAGCCAAGTATTATTCTGATTTTTGCCAAATAAAATAGTTGGTTAATTATTCTATGGGATTACGATAGAGAGCCAGTAAATTTGATAAAGGTGTTTTTGTGGCTAGGGGCGAAATAGTAGTAAGTTTAGGTTAGCACCATTATAAAAAAGTCATTTTTAAGAAACTGCTTATATATTTTTCATAAATTGGCAGGCTTGGCGACTAATTTCTAATAAAAATAGCCTCCAAAATGGCTATGGTTGCAAGTATGAAGGTTGCAACCCGCCTTAGAAATTTTACCTTTACTATCAACAGCTGTTGTTTGACAGGTCGTTAGAGAATGCAATTTATGGAATGTTGGGATTGTTGACGTTATAAATAATTGGAATTCCTAAAATTGTTACATAAGAATTGCAAATGTGGATTTTAAGAAAATTGATATTAAAATAATTAGGATAAACCGGAAACTTTGAAAATCAATAGGGTTCTAAGTTAGAAGTAATTATTCAAGAAAATCGAAACCTCAAGTCAATCAGAACTTTCGTTTTAGAGTTATCGTACCGGCATACATAAAACAGACGAATTTTTTTTTGCATTTTCGGACGAAAATTTTTTTGTCTGCACGAATGCAATACTGAGGTCCCATAGGAAGGGCCTCAGTAAAATTTAAAAAATATTTATTTTCCTTAAAAAATTTACAAGAATGTATTGGCAAGTCATAAAGCATGAATGGTGAATGGTAAATGTATAAAGTATTTATTATCCTCAAGACATTTACAAAAATGTATTGATTAAGCAACAAAGCATAAATGTAAATATTATAAAAATAATAATAAAACTATTCCCAAATAAGTATTCAGGGTGTTTTAAAAAACAGTGACATCGCTCGTGGGGTGATTCATTGCCCAAAAATAAAATAAATAGTTCTCTATTTGTAGTTAATAATGAAACACCCTGTATAAATTATAGCCATTAGAGGCTTAATGCACATTATGAAATCAGGAACTACTACGAAAACAGTAAATATAGTTATCTTCTAAAGCTTGTGGTTTGTAATTTTAAATAAACCATATATATTTTTTATTCAAACCTTTTTTATCAAACGTTTCCAAAAACATTATTTTTGTTTTTAAGTATAAACCTAATGTACAGCATGTAAAAAGCTGTAAACAGTTTTAAAAATTAAAATTATAAATGTGTCAATTAGTAATTTTTATATGCTTGTACACTTGAATACGAAAAAAGAATAAAAGCTTAATTTTTTTAAAACGTAGTATATAAAAAAAATGGTAAATAAAATATTTGGCTCAATTCCCAACAATTGGATATTTATTTATTTATACACTCACCGACTTAAAATTCGATCCATTTAAAATAATGATTTATTTAAAAATGCTCCAACTTTCAAATACGCAGGCTGATTTAATTGAATTTTTTAGCAACTTGTAGATAAAATACTGTAGTTTTAAGATTATTATTCTATTATCTAAAAGTAATTTAGTACTCGCCGCATATACAGGGGAGAAGAGAAAACAATTTTTTCCTCTACTTTTGACACACCCTGTAGGTTAATTCTGCTAGTAGATCTGCACACAATTAACTTTATTAAGAAAACTGATTTGTTTCCAACACTTTTTTTTTACTTGCCCCGATATCTTAATTTGTTTGTGAAATGTGGGGGTTTAAAGAAAATTCTACATTTTAGAAACAGTCATAATAATTTAAATGAAGGTAGAGAATAAACTACAAAATAAGTGCTATGGTCTACTCACAATATGACAACTGTCAAATATTCGTTACTTGGCAATTGCAGTTTAATTATCAGCATAACAAATATTCATTATCAGCATAACATCATGATTTTAGGTCTCAGTATTATGCTTCTATAATATTGGGTGTTACAAGGTGTAGCGTCCAGAGAGCTGTACAACGTTTCAATGAAACTGGTAGTGTGTCGAGACGAAGAGGATCTGGCAGACGACGTTCTACAAATGTTCGAGATGATCGTTTTGTAACATTAAATGTTTTGCGAGAAAGAAACACTACTGCTGTCATGGCTCGAAATCGTTTAGAAGAAGTACGTCAAGTAGTTGTTAACGAAATAACGATTCGAAGGCGAATACGAGAACATGGATACGCTCCAGAAGACCTGTAACTGGTCCGGAGTTACTTAGAAATCACAGAACAGCACGTCTTCGATTTGCCAGGGAGCATCAACATTGGAATGTCGATGACTGGAGTAAGATTTTATTTTCTGACGAGTCAAGGTTTTGTTTACGTTCTCTTCTGATGGCCGTGAAAGAATATACCAAAGAAAAGGCGAAACGTTTGACCAAGCAAATTTTTCCTTAAGACTCAGTTATGGAGGAGGATTGGTAATGATTTTGGACGGCATAAGCATAGAAACTCGTACTGATTTAGTAATTGTTGGCGGCAGAGCAATGACAGCTAACCGATATATTCGTGATGTGCTAGATCCACACGTAATTCAATTTGCACCGTTTATAGAAAACGAATTCATGTTTATGCATGACAACGCTCGACCACATATTGCGAGAATTGTATCTTAATATTTGAACGAAACAGAAATTCAAAGGGTGAACTGGACATCACGTAGCCCAGACCTCAATCCAATTGAGCACGTCTGGGACATGATGGGTAGACGAGTTCATAACTGAGTTCCTTCTCCAAGTAATTTAAATTTTTTGAGAGATGCTTTGGTCCAAGAATGGGATCAGATTGACCAGATGGAGATTCGACATCTAATAGAGGGTATGCCACGACGCATTGAGGCAGTTATTCGCGCTCGTGGGGGAAATACCCGTTAATAATTTGTAATAATTATTAGTTTATTTGTTGTTTGATTTGTTTATAAAATTACGTATTACTCTGCTAAAACTGAATAAAAAAATTAAGAATGTTGTATTTTCTCTAAACCGTCACATTTCACAAACAAATTAAGATATCGGATAAATAAAGAACAAAATATTGGAAACAAATCAGTCTTCTTGATAAAGTTAATTGTGTGTAGATATACTTGCAGAATTAACCTACAGGGTGTGTCAAAAGTAGAGGAAAAATTGTTTTCTTTTCCCCCCTGTATATCCGGCGAGTACTAAATTACTTTTAGAGTTTCGAATAATAATCTTAAAACTACAGTATTTTATCTGAAAATCGCTAAAAAATTCAAATAAATCAGCCTCCGCATTTGAGAGTTACAGTATTTTTAAATAAATCATTATTTTGAATGGATCGAATTTTAAGTCGGTGAGTGTATTTAACATATTTTGTGTATTTGAAATATTTTTTTTGCATATCCAACAATCCAATAAAAAACAAAAATTGTATCCTTAAATCAACAAAAACTGCGATCGATAATTGAATATGGATCTTCCAGACGTATGGGGTTAAAATTAAAAGTATAAATGCATAGCATCCTGGCATAAAATACTGGGTCAAAACAACTTAAACATACGGACATTTAAACGTGACGTTTAATTTATAACATTTCGCAACCTAGCTTTATGCAATCCACGGCTGGCGAATATCTCGCATTTATTAATTTACACATTTCTAAAGACACACCCTATATATCGAAAACCAAGTTTTTTCGAGACGAATGTTTATATACTTACCTTTTATTTTCAGGCAACAATTAAAGAACGCAATACCGCAAGAGTCTTACGCAAGAGTCTTGGTCTTGCGTAAGTCTTGCACCACTTGGTCTTGGTCTTGCACACTCGGTCTTGGTCTTAATTTTGCAAGCTTTTAGCTGGACTTGGTCTTGGTCTTGCAAAAAGCAAGACCAAGACCGCAAAACCGAGACCAGTCTCGCTCATCACTAGATGAAAGTAGTCCAAGAATGGCGTTTTCCTTAATCAAAGGTTAGAGTATTGAAATTAAATTTGATAGAATACAATACCGGTTGCGGTATTATCCAAAAAAATAGTTGTTTTTCGAAATAGTCGTTTGTATTTTGTGTGACATAGGGCTTTTCGTTTTTTTAATTATATTTTACGTCTTGGTCACGTTTTAGTTGGAATTACTTTCCTTTTTCATTTATATTAATTGGCTTGTTTACATAGTTTATAGTCTACGAACCATGTTCTGAACTATTATTTTCATTTTGATGTTGACTTGGTTGGGATTGAGACCATTGATTTGTTTTGTGACTTGTTTTTCACTATGTAGGCATTTGGAGATATTCAAGGAAATGTTATATTGCGTTCATTAATTCATTATTCAAAACAAATGGGTGTGCATTTAAACTGATATCTTACTTTGAATTGTACATCACTTCGTTGATTGCCTTTGTTAAAATTTCTTTTGTTATCGTCCTTTTGTTCAGTTTTATTCCATATCCTCTCTTTTCCATTCTATTAACGTTCGTAATTTGATCTCCAAAGAAGGGAATTCCAATGAGTGGAATGCCATTAGATATTGCTTCTTGCAGAGATTGTAATCCTCCTTGTGTGATGAATAACTTTACGTTTGGATGCCCTAAAATTAAAATATTTATGTATTAGTTAGTATTATTATTAAGTAATATTACTTGAGGTATTCTATTATTTTTTCTTTCTTATTTACAGTATCCTTATATATATAAATATATATATAAAATCGTTTATCTTGACTGATTGACTGATCTAACAGCACAAAGCCAAAACTACTAAGTCTAGAAAGCTGAAATTCGGAACATTGGTTTATTTTATAACGTAAGCATCCATCTGCCAAAAACGGTATTCTGGAAATTTCAACTTTAAGAGGAGAACTTTGTACGAAAGTTGTTTTTTAAGGTTGGAAAAAATTACAGCTACTGAGCATACAAAAATAATGAGGTGTTTTAAGGTTTTGGATTTTCAGATTTTTAGGGTGGAAAACAACGGGTCAAAGTTTTTATAGGAATATCTTTTTTTAAAGGTAGGAACTTTAAAATTAAAATTATAGCTACTCATCAAAAATAAATAATTTATTAATATATTTTATTTTTTTTATTTATTTAGTACACCACTCAACAGTTAAAAACCAATTACAGAGTGGGATGAACATAAATTAAAAACAAATACAATATACTAATGATATACATCACAAACGAGTAAAGAACATTAGATATGACTGAACATGAAATAAATAAAAAGTACAATAAAGCCTATTTTTAAGGAAAAGTGAAGGTACAATATTCAGTTATATTTAAGTTCTTAAAGGAGCATAAAAAAATAAAAAAAATAAAAAATTAAATTAAAATAAAATAAATACACACAAAAGATATATTATCAACTTACCAAGCAGGATAAACACCTACTCAGTTTCTATGGTAATAGCCCTAAAAATATATATTTTCTTACAACAAAAATATCCAAACTGTCTTGAAGGCGATGATAAAATTATTGATCATTTGAAAAATTGGAGAACCGTTCAAAATATTTGTATTTGCAGCTGGCAAGTAAAAGCTAAAGTATATTCTAAGGCCTTGGCGGGGTACTTTAATGTTGATACAATCCTGAAACTCAATGCAGTTTAGCCCTCCATGTAAAATATCCCATAGGAATGAAACTAGCTGCATTTTACGGCGTATGTGCAGTTCCATTAAACCAAAGCGCGACAACAGTTTATCATGGGGAAATCCTCTAGCAGGATAGATATTGCCTAGATGATATGATTTGCACTATAGATGTTAACTGATGGATTCCATACAACTAACGCATACTCAAGTCTAGATCTAACAAAACTAATATATAATAACTTCACTGTATGTATATTTTTAAATTGTTTGGAATTTCGAATTACAAAACCAAGACTCCGTGAAGCACACATACCTGTCTGCTCAATATGCCTTGCGAAAGTTATTTCCCTGTCAAAATGGACTCCCAGATCCTTTATAAACTCCGGCCTACTTAACACAGTGCCATTGATCTGATAATCAAAGGTGAAATATGATAGCAATAATTTAGCTAAACAACTTTGTAAAGATATTCAATCAACAAAGTTCCGTATTTCAGCACAAATTTTTAAATCATCAGCATACCAATAATGTCATCAATAAAAACTATGAAAATAAGGGGCCCAAGGACCGAACCCTGCGGTACACCTGAAATTTGCTTAAAATAGTTTGATCTAAATCCTTGGTGTTGCACGTACTGACGTCTATTTTCTAAGTAAGAATCGATGAGTAAAAGAAGAAGATCAGATAGTCCCTTAGACTTTAATTTTTGTAATAGGATTTGATGATCAATTCTATCGAATGCCTTAGAAAAGTCGGTATAGATAACATCGACCTGACTTCTTCTATCTAAAGCCTCTACCAAAAATTGTGTTTTGCACACAAGATTCGACACAGTGTTTTTATTGCGATAATGAACACGAAAGATATCTAGATAAGGATGTAGGAAAAATGATTTTAAATACTTTGGAGAAATTACAAAGTATGCTAACAGGTATATAGTTGTCAAGATCATCTTTGGTTCCCTTTTTATAAACTGGTGTAACGCGAGATAATTTCCATAGATCATGAAACATGGCTGTTTTTAATATTAAATTAAAAATAGTACACAGTGGGGTTGAAAGAATGTGTGCGCAATCTTTAATGAAGAAGGAAGGAATATAATCAGGTCCCATTGTCATTTTTGGCTTTAATCTTTTTAAAGCGCCTACCACTTCTTTATCAGATACATGATTTATAGATAAAATAGGTAAATGAACAGATGCGAGAGTACGTGTTGGTAATGTAAAATTGTTTTAAAAATGCTCTGCAAATGCCTGCACAATATCTAATGGATTATCCAATACATCATTATTAATTTGTACTGAAGATGGAAAGCTTGAGGAGTTCTTAAAAGGGTTTACGTATGTCCAAAATTTCTGAGGGTTTTCCTGAATATTATTTGATCTGTTTCAGTATTTTTGGATTTTCACTTTTTAAAGGGAACTGGGTGGAGATAGTTTGTATAGGGATATCGGTTTTTTAAAATAGAAAATTCAAAGGTACTATTATTTAATTACGTATATAGCAAAGGTGGCCTTGAATGCTATGTATTTCGTAAGTTTGTAGAGCTTTTTTATTTTTGAAAAGAAAACCGTTAAAACTTAGTGGCATTCGTTTATTACACATTTAACAATTAACTAACAAAGATTAATCACAGTTGACAACGAAAAGAAGTTAAATCATTGAATATAAAAAGCAAAAAACACAAAAATATCGCACTCATTGCTTAGAAACTGCGAAAAACTGCACATTGTCATCTGTCTCTTTCGTTCGAAATCTCTTACTCGGAGATCGCAATATCGATTGGATAGAAATTAAGAATGGAGTCCAAGGTTATGCAACTTTATATACACATGTGTATATCGGGTTGTCGTAGTGGTAGGGTGTTACAATTACATATTTATCACATCTTTTGTATATAATTCAAAAACCTATAAAAAAATATATGTCCGTGATTGAGTAGGTATCATTATACGCCGTCACCGCCTCGACGTTGTCGGAACTCACAGGTGTGCGGCCTAGGCACAAAGGGAGACAACGTCTGCTTACCGGTTCTGCTAATATAAGTGTGCGCTTGGCATAATATCTTACTGCTTTCCAGAGACGTTTAAAGAACAGTTTAGTTAATATAAGGGAATGGTTGTATAGGAAATAGTATGAAAGTGAATCTTTTCCTCACGTAACTGCTATCGAGTAAAGGAAAACACATTCCTATACGAACAAAAAGTTGTTATTTATTTTGATCAAATATCACTTCCGAACATTAATTTTTTAGAGTATCGGTGACTGAACGTTTTTCAATACGGTTTATACTATTATGTATAAAAACTACAGGGAGTTAGCATTAGTTCAAGCAGGAAATAAATATTACACAGCCCCACAAATAAAAAAAAAAGTGTTTAGACTTGGCGGTCGGACATATATATTCCCATGTATTTTTCGACGCTGAATCCGATCCCGGGCTCAAAAATAGCCCTCCACGTCTGGAATTGGCCTTATGTGTCAAAAATGGCCCCTATATGACCTGAAAGGTAGATTCCGAGATGAGGCGTGGTTGAAGGGGCATTCTAAAGCCAAAGTCTGGTTTGTGGTCAAAAAGTTTACGGACAACTGGAATTTCCCGTGTGGGCCGGAAAAATGGCCCAATAGGTGCCAGAAAATCGTGTTTCAAACGTCGCAATGACATTGGTGGTATTTTTATGTACTTTTGAATACTGGAATGAATACCGTGCTCGAAAAGTTTATGGCCGACTGAAAGTTCACGTTTGGAACCGGGAAAGTCGCTCCTCAGATGCTGGAAAATAGCCCCTTAGGGGCAGGAAAATCGTGTTTCGGACGTCGCAATGACATTGGCGGTATTTTTATGTACTTTTGAATTTTGGAATGAATACCGTGCTAGAAAAATTTATGGCTAACTGTAATTCCCTGTTTGGGACCGGGAAAATGGCCCCTTGGGGGCAGGAAAATGTTGTTTCGCACATTGCAATCGCTACAGAGGTATTTTTTTGTCCTTATTTATGTCCTAGTTCTCGAATTCAGACGGTGCTCGAAAAGTTTATGGCCAACTAGAATTCCCCTTTGGGATCGAGAAAACGACCCCTTAAGGGCCGGAAAGTTGTGATTGGGACGTAGTAATCGAGTGGTATTCTCATGAAAACTGAGTGAAGCCAATGTTCTTCTACTCTGCGAATTGATTGGACGTCCAGAATGTTTCATCACGCTCGGTTACGGCCTTAATTCAAGAATTACTCCTATGTGATAGTTTTCCCCGGTATCTAAAAGATCCCGAATGCTCCATTCACTGATTCTAATACGTCTCTCATTTACCCATGTATTTCTCTACACTCGATTGTCAAGTATAAAGTTTAAACGATACAGTATAGAGTCCCCGATTTTACTTCCTCGTACAGAAGTATATACATAGAGTGTAGTCTCGATTGTGTGAGGAAAACTCTCTCAGATGACGTTTAGGCCGGAGTTCCGGTACAGCAGGTCTCCGGAGGTACGTTTTCGTGATAAAAATTGGATTCTGCGTGCCCAGAAACCCCCATGACAATTTTCGGTTCAGCGATTGTGTCTGGAGAACCCTCGGAGACGATGTTTTGGTACACTAGGTATTTGGGGATCGTTTTCCAAGTGAAATTTGGATTAAGGGCCCCAAAAAATACCCCTACAAGGTTTTTCAGTTTGTTTTTTTTTATCAATCTTGGCAGGAAACTTCTCGGAGATAACGTCCACGTACCGGTCCCAGCGCAACAGTGTTCAGTGGCTGTTCGCCGATGTTATATTTGGATTCTGTAACCCAAAATACCCCAGAGTGCCGAGTTTCTCTCCTTACCCACGTGAATTTTGAGATAGTCCCCGTAGAAAACGTTCATCGGCGTTCGTGAGCTCCAGGTCGGCTGTAGTTCAATTTAAACATCATAATCTTGATCAGCGACCTCGAAAACCCTTAGGAACTCTTTTGGCCAGTCCTGACTCTTCCACATTTCAGGCCATATAGAGGCTATGTTTGGCC